ATCATAATCTTTGGATTAATAACACTGCCTCGTCACTGGTGAATGCTTTATTTCTTTATTATAATGTCTAATAGTAAGCACTTATGAAAACACCATCCAAAGGAAAACTGCGACGCTGACCCTAGTGCATATCTGATCGGTAGTTTTTCCTTCCCATCCATTTTGTCTCACACCATGTTTATCAATCCCTTGATTTCCTTTTTATGTAGTTGTTATATCTCTCTCTATATTTTAAAACAAATAAGGTTTTATTTTTTATTTTTTTTTATTTTTTTTATTTATTTTTTTTTTTGACAGGCAGAGTGGACAGTGAGAGAGAGAGACAGAGAGAAAGGTCTTCCTTTGCCGTTGGTTCACCCTCCAATGGCCGCCGCGGCCGGCGCGCTGCGGCCGGCGCACCGCGCTGATCCGATGGCAGGAGCCAGGAGCCAGGTGCTTTTCCTGGTCTCCCATGGGGTGCAGGGCCCAAGCACCTGGGCCATCCTCCACTGCACTCCCTGGCCACAGCAGAGGGCTGGCCTGGAAGAGGGGCAACCGGGACAGAATCCGGCGCCCCGACCGGGACTAGAACCCGGTGTGCCGGCGCCGCTAGGCGGAGGATTAGCCTATTGAGCCGCAGCGCCGGCCACAAATAAGGTTTTATATTATATGTAATCTTTTGTGGTTTATTCTTTTCACTTCTTGTTTCAATTTTGGTGGTATCCTGAGAAACTTTTTCTAAAGTCTCAAGGTGTTTTTCTTTCTTTTAGAAACTTTTTATTTATTTGAGAGGGGGAGAGAGGGAAAGCTTCCATCTACTGGTTTACCCTCAGCCAGGGCTGGGCTGCACCGAAGCTGGAAACCACTCAGTCCAGGCCTCCCGTGTGGCTGGCAGGAACCCAGTTACTTAAGCCATCACCTGGGGCTGGTGCTGTGGTGTGTCAAGTTGCTGTCTGCAGTGCCAGCATCCCACGTAGGTGCCAGTTTGAGTCCTGGCCGCTCTGCTTCCGATCCAGCTCCCTGCTAGTGCACCTGGGAGAGCAGCAGAGAATGGCCCAGGGTTTGGGCCTCTGCAACCCCTGTGGGACACACAGAGGAAGCTCCTGGCTCCTGGAACAGCTCCAGCCATTGAGGCTTTTTGGGGAATGAACCAGCGGATGGAAGCTCTCTGCCCTCTCTCTCTGTAACTCTGACTTTCAAATAAATAAATAAATAAATAAATCTTAAAAAACAAAAAGCCATCACTTACTGCCTCCCAGGAGACACGTTAGCAGGATGCCAGAGTCTGGGGTGAAGCTCGGGCTTGACCACAGGCACTCAGATACGGGACGCAGGTGCCCCGGCCAGTAGGCCAAATGCGCTGCCCGATTTTTCATTTCTTCAAACTTCTCTTTCTGATAGGGGGGATTTATGCTTGCCCAGGACTGATTTACAATCAAGTGACTGGACTGGAATCTGTATGAATTCAGCCATTCCTGGTAGGACACAGGCAGAGTAATACAGTTGTAGACCGTCATCCTAGAGACCCAGCAGGCGGTGGAGAGGGCAGGGCACTGTTGCGGCTTTCCTGGCTGGACCTTCGTCTTGTAGACTGTGTAATCTCCAGTTAAACATTTTCTCTTCACGGTCACATCCAACCCTGGCCACTGGGTGTGGCGTCTCCCTCCGGGAGCAAGTTGTTGGCGTATCACGAGTATCCCCTGGCCAAAGCCACAGAAGCACTGAGCAGGTGCGGCTCCCTCACCTAGCACGTCCACCCTTTGCCCAGGTTAGTGCACTCTCCGGGAATTCGGAACTACTTTGGTTTTTGGAGGCAGAGACAGAGAGTGAGCTCCCATCTGCTGGTTCACTCCCCAGACGACCACAACAGCCACGGGTAGGGTCGGGTGTGTCAAAGCCTGAAGTCAGGAACTCAATCTGGGTTTCCCACATGGGTGGCAGGAGCCCAATTCCTTGAGCCAACACTGTTGCCTCCCAGGGACTGCATTCACAGAAAGCTGGCATCGGGCGCGAGAGCCAGGCATGCGAGAGCCAGGTAGTCGAATGCGGGACACGGGTATCTTAGCTGGCATCTCCACTGCCAGGCTAGGCGCCTGCCCCCAGACAGATGAAAACTGATAGGACAGGCTGCTCCACCAACTGGTGCAGGCTGCTGCTTCACAAAACATGAGTCTGAGACGAATCTTCACCTGCTTCCTAGCCTGTACCTAACTCACCCTGATTCTTTTTTTTCTTCTTCTTCTTTTTTTTTTTTTTGACAAGCAGAGTTAGAGAAAGGTCTTTCTTCCATTGGTTCACCCCCCAAATGGCCGCTACGGCGTGCTATGGCGTGCTATGGCATGCTGCGCCAATCTGAAGCCAGGAGCCAGGTGCCTCTCCTGGTCTCCCGTGCGGGTGCAGGGCCCAAGCACTTCGGCCATCCTCCACTGCCCTCCCAGGCTACAGCAGAGAGCTGGACTGGAAGAGGGGCAACTGGGACAGAATCCGGTGCCCCGACCAGGACTAGAACCCGGGGTGCCTGCGCCGCAGGAGGAGGATTAGCCTAGTGAGCCGCGGCGCCAGCCACCCCTGATTCTAACAGCCGCTGAATTTACCCTAGTTCCTGTGTGCTAAACTACACCCTAACTTCAAATTCTAACCTTTCTGTTTTTCACCTTCTCACTCATTTCTCTGCTCTCTCTCTTTTCCTTTTTCCTATTCCTACAGAGCACTTTGGATTCCCATGTAGTCAGCTGTTACCATAAGCAGACTGGGACGGATGCTAGAGTGCACCGTCTCATCTGTCTATCTCCTGCTCAGGGGTATTGACATTAGCTATCCCACCTTACAGATGAGAAACTGAAGCTTGATGACTTTGGTCAAGGTCCATGTATTCAGTGAAGTTAGAATTTGAATCAGGTTTTTTTTTTTTTTTCTTTTTTTTTAGGTTGTGATGCCTTTGCATTTAAGTGAAAGCAAACTTGAAGTGATCTTAACCATGAAGACATTTACTATGTCACGTAAAAGGGCCGGCTCGCCCAGGGCTTACGTTGCTCTCTGAGGCCCAGGCCTTTCTGCTTCACCTCCAGCCTCGGCACGTGCAGGCTGGTGAGCTTCCCACACGCCGTCCACAGGCCACGCAGGGCCAGGCACACATCCTTGCTCCTGGGCCTCTCTCTCACTGGCCCCAGCGTGCAACACATCTCTTCTTGAGATCACCTCAGCTTTTCCCAGCAGACTTCCCTCCTAACTGTCCTGAGCGCCAGCAGCTCCTGTCCAGCCAGACACTGGCAAGGGGAAGGAGACCGCGATGACGGGACCAGATGAACCAAGACCCGTCGTGGGGCTCGCTCCCCAAGCCTCCCTCGGGCTTCTGGCGAAGCAGGGGGATGGGGGCAGGGTACCGGTGTCTGCTGCAGGAGGCGCCTGCTAACGCTGACAGCCACACCCTTCCGGGCGGCCCCTCAGCGCCCACCCTCCCTGCAGCGTTTCCTCAGCCATGAGCCAGGTCCCCTAAGCTTCCACTCAAGGTGACACACACTGAGGCCGTCCTTGGCAGAACCGTGAGAGTGTGAAATGCACCCCTTGGGCACAGCGCTGCCGCTCAACTGCCCTGAGACGCCAGGGCCATGTGTGGTTGGCACAGCCAGGACTTGGGCTGGGGGTGGGGAGAGGCAGACGTTCTGTCTCAGGCAGGTGGGCTTCACCAGGGCTGAGTTCTAATCCTGTTCCTCCCGCTCTCCGAGATCCTGTCTTTCTGGCCTGTTCATTTTCTTAGAATCTGAATTCTTTTCTTTCTTTCTTTCTTTCTTTCTTTCTTTCTTTCTTTCTTTCTTTCTTTCTTTCTTTCTATTTATTTACTTTAGTTACACAGAGAGAGGAGAGGCAGAGAGAGAGAGAGAGAGAGAGAGAAAGCGAGGTCTTCCATCTGCTGGTTCATGCCCCAGTTGGAGTTGTGCCAATCCAAAGCCAGCTTCCTCCAGGTCCCATGCGGGTGCAGGAGCCCAGGCACTTGGGCCATCCTCCACTGCTTTCCCAGGCCACAGCAGAGAGCTGGATTGGAAGTGAAGCAGCTGGGACTCGAACCAGCATCCACATGGATGCCAGCACTGCAGGCAGTGGCTTTACCTGGCCATGCCACTGTGCTGGCCCCATGAATTATTTTCTTAATAAAGTCTCACTCTCCCTCTAGTTTCATTGTCTAAAACTTCACCCTGGGGTCCGAACTTCCACACGAGAACACTCCTATCCGCTGGGTTTATTACCACTTGCTGTGGCCCACGTGCTACAAACTGGGAGTGACAGACAAGAAGGCTGGGAGTTAGGGCTTGGTCGCCGTGTGCAGGTGCAGGTTCTTTCACACACCCTAGCTAACTCCTGCCTCACGGTACCTTGGTCAGCTAGGTTTCAAAAGTTAAGTTGCCTGCCCCAAGAAGTCACCCACTCAGGACCACCAGCGCCTCAACCTGTGACTGCCAATGCCTTCCCTGTGGCGCCATGCTGGCTACGGTCCTCATGGTTACACCACATATTTGCATACATGAATTTGGGCCCCACCACAGGCACAGGGAGAGCGATCCGTGTGCATTTTATAAATGAGGGCAGGGGCCCCAGACTTGCCCGAAGGCCTGGGGACCCCAGCTTTCCCGCTCCCCACACCGTGCGTGGCAGAAGGCGCCGCGAAATGTAGGATGCCGGCGCCAGGAGGTATCACACCTCTCGCTGTGAGTGAACTTGATGTTGCTGTCCCCCTTGTCCTCTCCCCTCAGCCTCCGTCCCCCCGTGAGGGACACTCCCAGGGCGCGCAGTCGGTATGCCCGCAGCGGCTGCTCAGAGGAGGCTGTGCTGAAAGACCCACCAGCCCCAGCGCGGGAACCTCCTGCCCAGGGCCTCAGCCTTGGACTGGGTAGCGTGCACTCCTCACGCTCCCCTCTGCCCTGGGGCCCACGGCGCCGGTCCTGGGGCGGACACCCTGCGAGTCCAAGGGCTCTCCACTGGGCCGCCTTGGCCCCTCCCCCCGCCCCTCCCCGGCCCCGGCCCCGCCCCCGCCCCCCTCTGGCCGCACAGCCCTGGACACCGGACACATCGCCCAGAGCCTCCCCAAGGCCAGCAAAAGGACCTGCCTGGGTTCCCAAGGCTATGGCCGGCACCAGCACCTTCATACCAGGGCTCCACCCTCAGAATCCTCGTTACATCCCGGGGTAAGACCTCCACCCAGCGCACTCTCCCGCTTGCTTCCACGGGGACACAGGGGTTGCACACCTAGCCCCTGGGGCCCAGCAGATATGTTGGTTTGGGAGGCCCAAGGCCAGGGGAGTTGTGCCGTTGGATGGGAAGGAAAAGCAAGGGCCGGGTGCTGGCTGGGTCTGCCTCCCAGCTTCCTGTTACCTTCTCCATGGGAACAAGGGAACAGTGCAAGGGAGGATCAAAAGCCCAAGCAGAGAACTCAGAAATGCCGGCTCCAGTTGCTGCGAGGGGGCTTCAGCAAGTTCAGGAAAAATGTGTAGAATGCACGGCAGCTTTTTTTTTTTTTTTTGCAGCAAAATAAACTTACATTTTCATTTTTCCATGAACTTCTAAAAGTACACTCGCACACAGTGGATTCCAGATCAGGGCTTTAAGAGTGCAGCTTCCTCTGCAGGGGACCTGCAGCGGCGACAGGTGGGGCTGTGTGCTGCAGGTACACCGGACACTGCCCGCTGCTTCGGTTCAGCATGGGCCAGACCTATGGGCAGGTGACTGGTCAGCTGCTGCAAGGCCCTCCTGGTCTAGCCTGGCCCCCTGCCCATCGCTCGCTTCTGCCTCCCATTCGGCCTCCAAGATCTCCTGAGGTTCCCACGGGAAGCCTGCCGCCTAGGCGTGGGCACGGACGGCTCAGCTCCAGCATGGTCCCGGGGTACACAGGTTTGTGCACAGGTATGGCCAGGTGCCCCCCACCCCGAAACATGTCGTCAATACTAACAGACCTTTCTGGCCCCTGCCCGCCCAGGTTTTGTACCCCAGGCGCAGTTCATCTTTGCCAAGAATTGCAGCCGGGTCTGGGCCGAGGCTCTGAATGATTTCACTCGGTGGAACGGGGGGCAAGGGGGCCCAGAGCTGCCACAGGGGGCCAGGGGCGCAAAAGGTACGGAGAAAGAGCAGGAGCCAACACTGGAGCAGGAGGCAAGGAAGGAACCAGAGCCGGAGCAGGAAGTGGAACAAGTAAGACCAAGAAGGCTGGTGGGGAAAGCGGGACTGGGCTGGACGGGGAGCCTCATCCTTGTGTCCAAACCCAGGGGTGGCCCTGGAGGGTGTGGCTGTGGGGGCGGGCTGGGGCTGGACTGCCACCTCTACAGCCCTGGGGACTTTGGGCGGAGGAACTGTTGACTCTACTTTTCTTCTATTAACGTCTCTCAGGCTTCCCCCTACTCCATGGATGACAGAGACCCTCAGAAGTTCTTCATGTCAGGTGAGAGAAGGTGGGCAGTGACTATGACCCCAACCAAGGGCAGGCTCCTGGGGTCTCCACTCAGTGTCCCCATCCCCCAGGCTTCACTGGCTACGTGCCCCGTGCCCGCTTCCTCTTCGGCTCCAGCTTTCCTGTGCTCACCAACCAGGCACTGCAGGAATTTGGGCAGAAGTACTCAAGGGGCAGAGCCCAGAAGGACCCTAAGCCTCCCGGCCAGCTCCCCAGGACCCTCTGAGAACCAGGGTCTCTTACCGCACGATGGGGGCGACGGGCCGGGTGAGCACAGCCGCAGAGGGAAGCCTTGGGAGCTGGAATATTTGTGTTGGGCTGGGCGGGGTGGTTTGGGGGGTTGGAAAGAACATACGGGGGACCTCAGATCACGTGGCTTAGCTTTATCATCAGGCAGTAAAGGAACTGAGGCAGCTGGCAGTGGGAGTCAGGGCCAGGTTTTGGAGCGCAGTTCGGGGGGTCAGAGAGCTGGGAAAGATGGAGACAGCTCTTCCTTGCCATTGGCCACACCTGACAGGCTCTTCTGGTCACACAGGGTCTAAGTTCCAGTTTGGTCACACAGTTGGGCATCTCACCCACGATGCTCTGGGCTACAGCACCGTCCAGAAGCAGCTCCTGGCTGAGGGAGCTGGACCTCAGGGTCTCCCTTCCCTTCTCATGCTACCCCAGCCGTCCTTTTGGAAGGACGGGAGACGGGGGCTCGGGGGGAGGGACCACAAAGAGAATGGTTTGAAGGCTGAGCACCTTTTTTATTAATAGGTGTAATAAATAAATAAATAAATACATAAACAGAGGCCTGGGCTCCTCTTCCCTCTCCGACCGCCAGGCACTGGGCACAGCCTATTTACAGCTGGGGGGGCTGAGGGATCTGGCCCCAATACTGTTCACCATCCTTATCATCACCTGGCCTCGGGCACCCTGCCAGTGGCCCTCTGGGACACCTTCCTCAGACCTGCTTTGTCTACATAAACAGCAGGGTTGGCCCAGATGGGCTGGGGAAACCCTGGCAGCCCAGCGCTGCGTCCCCTCCCTCCTTTCCTGGATGGAGGTCTGGAACGAGGTCACTGGGACAGTTACAGGGGAGTAATTAATACTGACCACGGGGAGCAGGTGCCAGCGCAGGGATATGTGGCCCCCAGCTCTCAGTCTACTCTGTAGCCAAGCCACAGGGCTTGGGGGGGGCTCTCAGGCTCTGAGCCAGGGGTTATGAGGGACCCTGAGGCCACCAGCATGCACAGGGCCTCAGTTTTGGCTGTTTCCGGGGGTTGGACTTGGAGTTGGGGTCAACGTCACGTAGGCCAGAGGTACGAGGCCAGTGTCAGGGCCGCGGCTGCAGCGTAGCCAGTCTCCACCGGCTGGCCCCAGCACCCGTAGGATATCTCCCTTGTGGAAGCTCAGCTGTCCAGGGCCTGTGGCCAGATGGTGGCACAGTGCCTGCACCTCACTGGGAAACAAAACATGTTGGTCAGAGAAACCCATCCAAAGCCAATCCTGGCCCCCTGACCCCTCCCTGACCCTGGGCTCACCATGGGGGCTTAGAGGGCAGGGCTGGAGAGTGTGGCTCCTGCACGGTGTCCTTGGGCTCTGGCTCCCGGCGGGCACCCACGGTCTGTGCCACTAGCTGGAACATGGACTTGTCCAGGCTCAGCCAGTCTGAAGGTAGCCTAGGGGAGAGCAGCTGGGCTCTGGCTCTGTCCAGGCCCAGCTCAGGCACCCCGCTCCCTCCACCCCTACCACATGTGGACTCTCACCTGTTTGTGGGCCGGGCCTCCCGCTGGGCTTTTCGGGAACCAAAGAGATGTCCCCACTTGATGCCACCAGGTGAAGGCTCCGAGGCCCCTTCCTCATTTTCTGCTGGTGGGGCCGAAGGCGCCTCCCTTTCTCGACTGCGCCTCAGCTCAGCCAGCACGGAGTCGGGGGGGCTCCCCATCCAGAAGGGCCAGCCCCTCTCCCGGCCAAGGGCCTCTTCGGGGGCAGGGCAGGCCTCAGCCCCTTCCACTACTCCCTCGCGTGGGGGTGGAGCCTGGGGAGGCCCCCCGGCTCCCCCCACTTTCTTTTTCTCACTGCTGCTATTGCTGCTACCCCGAGGGAACCTAGAACCCTCAGTGGAGCCATCGATATAGACTTGGGAGCTCTGCATGAGCTGGTACCACCAGCCAGCCTGACCGCTTCGGGCCCACCTGCCATGGCCCGAGCCCTCTGCCGTCTCTGCCACCTCTTCTGCTTCCTCTTCCTCTTCTCCACCTTCTGGGGCCCCCACACCCTTCACTCGCTCCCCATGCGCTGCTCTGTCCATGTCTCCAGGGCCCTCCTGGCCCCGGGCGCGGGCCAGCTGCAGTGTGGAGTGTGCGGACAGCAGCAGGTCCTGGGACACTCGCAGCAGTTCCTTGTGCTGCCGCTGCTGCTGCCCGCTTTGCAGCAGCCGGTGCTGGAACAGCAAGTCAAGGCTGAAGGGCAGCAGGGCCAGGGGCTGGAGCAGCAGCAGCAGCTCCTCAAAGAGGCCGGGGCACACGGTGTGCGCCGCGCTCAGGAAGCCCCAGGGCTGGTAGTGCGTCTGGATGATATCTGCGGGGGAGAGCGGGGGCTTGCGTCACACAGAGGAGCAGAGCCTGGCCCAAGTGGCACTTTGGGTGCTATGCAATGAACTGTGTTCCACATCCACGCTGTCTCCTGTGGCTGTGCAGGGTGCAGACCCCCCACCCTGAGACGGGGCAAGAGGTGTGGGGGCTCCCCTAGCCAGGCTTCCAGCTTTCCGGACTATTCTGCCCACTCCAAGGCTCTAACTCAAGCGGAAGCTGGGAGGACTCGGGGAGAAACGCAAAGCTCTGAGGATGGACGCCCGTGTGGCTCCCTTCTGGTTCCCTTCCCCACCTCCGGTTCCTAGGGACAGCCACTCTGCCCCGTACGCTGCGCCTCTGGGGACTGGCCTGGTTTGAGACTGTGAGACAAAGCAGGGTTCTGGGCATTACCTTCGTGGTTATAGAGGTGATTAAACCAGAACTCCAGGGACCGGATGCTGTAGGGAGATAGGCAAAGAAAGCTGAGTCTTGTGTGGATACGGCCAGAAAATAAGGTACCAAGGAGGCAGATACCGGGGCTCAGACACAGGGAGGCAGGCTGGGTGGGCATCCCCTTTTATGGCAGAGGTGCTGCCTGGTTCATTTTTCACGCTGTTGTCCCAGGACACCAGGGGGATGTGCAGAGGGAGTGAGTGTGTGGTTCACAAGCTAATCACCTCCTCCAAGAGAGGAGTCAGCTTACATGACCCGGAAAAGCAGGGTACAGAATGAGAGTGCAGGCAGCTCAGGATCGAGGGCGACGGTTCGTCACCCGGGCCATACTTGAGGGAGAATCACACTACAACGTGCATCCCAAGGTGCACTGGGTATTGAGGCTGGATTTAGAAGCAGGGCTGGAATGGAGAGGATCAGGGTTCTCAGGAGATTGAGAAATCCAATTAATTTCCAAAAACAGGCTATGTTTTTGTAAGAGCAGCTGAAGACCATGTAGGGATCAGTGCTGGGGTTGTGGGTCCCTGGGAAAGCAGTGAGCCACTGGGGTGCTCTGGCCGGGGGAAGCTTGCGCCCTGGCCGCAGACTCGCGGACCTCCCCCTTCTGCCTCAGTACAGGGAGCTGGTTCCTCAGGAGGCAGGGCCTGGGTGGAGGGCTGGTTGTTCAGGAGGTCTTGCTGCCCTACACTTACTTGAGCAGGCCGAGGATGAAGGCGTTAAAGCGCATGGTGTGACTGGTGAGCTCTGGGAACTGGCTGACTTTGTTGTAGAGGCCGTGCAGAACCTTGGTGGATGGGCCTAGGAGGAAGCCAGGGTCGGAGGTCACGCAGCCGATGTCTGGAACCCTCAATTGAGCCCAAGGTCCTTATCTCTCCGCTGGGCACTTACCGAGCTGCGTGGAAGCCTCAACCACGCTCCACGGCATGTTCTTGCGTTGCCCGATGATGACGTCTAGTACAAAGGACTTGAGCCCGTCCTCCAGCACGGCCCGGACAGCGGGGCACAAGTACTTCAGAACCAGGTGGCCCACGTTGGGGCTCACAGAACTGTTTCCCAGCTTTGCCTGCAGATGCAGTCGGGAGTGGCAGGGAGTCATCTGGAGACGACCTTGGCCCTTCCTTTGTCGGCCTGCATGGCTCGCTCCTGCCACCCCCACCCCTCAGAATCCCGCTCTGGAGCAGGGGGAGGTGGTGGCACACGGAGGGCAGGGGTCTGCAGGGCAGAGCTCAGTCCTCCACATTCTTGCTTACCTTTACCCCAGGATCCCGGCTTGTGCCAAAGTGGGCCACAATCAGGTCCACAGCAGTGTTAACAGCTTTAATCAGGCCTGCAAGCAAGGATTGATGTGACAGGTCCTTAAGCAAGCTCCCAGCAAACACTAAAGGCTGAACCCTCCAGGAGGCTGGAGGACTCTCGCACCCTCGGTCTCTGTACCTGTACACAAGTCTCACTGAGACATCCAGGCCAGTACTGTTCTGGTTTGGCCCAGTTCTCAACCCCTGTCTGTCCTTTTGGACCTAACTTTAGTGATACCACGGCCATCCATGACCTTCAACTTTCTTACTTCTTAGCCCTCTGACTCCAATCCCAGATCAATCCAACAATTAGCCTTTTCTACGGAGAAACTAGGCTACTCCCTGCTCTTGGAGATAATCCAGGTCCCTCACACAAGTGCCAGAAAAGGGTGATTCTTCGATATGTGCCTTGTCAGCACCCTCTGCTCCACCCTCAAGTTGCCATGCCAAACCTTTGCCCCTCTTCTTCAGCCCTTCGTCCTACTTCCTGCAGAGAACAGAGGCCACTGGTCATGAATTCCTTCAACTTCCCTCTCCTCCAAGACACATAACTGTACTGCATCTGCACCCCTCTCCCTCCATTCGCGTCCTGCCCAAGGTTCTTTCCTTTCTCTGCAAGGGACTTCCACTTCACCTTTCTCTCGTTTCACAGGCTCCTCTGTTCAGCCCACATTTGTGATTTATGCTCAGTTCTTCCTTCAGTAGCTCACTGAAACTGCTCTAACCTTGGTTCAGTTGGCACTTGGCTGCCTTCCCTGCCTGTCTTCCTCTTACTAAATGTCACCAGCACACTTAGCAAAGCTGCAGGCCCGGGCCCTTGACCGAGAGCACTCAGTTTTCTGGCACATGCCACCTCCTCCCCCATCATGCTTAGCTCACTCAGGGAAGAGCCTGGTTCGGCATCTGAGAAAGGACCCTGGCTCACTCACGGTACACTAACAGTACCCACGTGACTGCCTCCAGGCCCAGTGCTCTCCAACTCCTTCCTGGCACTTGAATTTTAAGACAGGGAAATATTCCCTGTCTTAAATGCCCAAAGTAGGGCAGCAGCATGTATAGGTGAGTAGTGTGATAGCAGCAACTCTGACCTGAGCTCAGGTTCTAGTCACCTTTTTTCTGAAGCAGGTCAATGGAAATGGCCTCTGAGTTGCCATCTGGGGACAGACAAAACTCAGCTGGGGGCTTCTCAGTCAGGGAGAAGGGGTCTTGGAAGTCAGGGCAGGTCAGTGGTAATGGCTTCAGCATTTGACCTGGAAAGAAGAGAAAAAAATCAAGTTCAGGGCCTCCAGCATGCTCCTTTGGGACTGAGCCCTCCCCACCACAGCAGGGTCTGGGAACCTTGCCCACACACCATTCAGCCGGCAGTTCAGATGGCCAGCAGCTGGGAAAGAGCCAGGAAACTCAAAGATGGGGTTCCTTCGGGTCAGGCGCGCTTCCTGTGGCCTTCGGTCTAGGCTGCCTGATAAACCAGGTGGCCCTAGTGGGTTCTTCCTCCTGTATTCGCGCCACTTGAGGGCTTGAGGGGATAGGTGGTTGGCTGGAAGTAGATCAGATTAGCAGAAGAGACAGATAGGCAAGAGTTAGTAGGAGACAAGGTTTCATATCCACCCAATGGACCCATGTGAAACACCAGAGTTAAGACTATGTGGACATTATCCACAGGTGCTGGGGACAGAGGTGCGAACATTTTAATCTCTGACCCCCAAGTCAGAGCATAAAGACAGAAGTGCTTGGGGTGGTGGCAGTGACGCGCATACCGTTACTGGGCCTGGAGGCCATGCTGCCCTCACCGCCTCCCCGGGCCAGGCTCTCTGCTCGGCTGAAGCCAGATCTCCAGGAGCCCAGAGGTGGCAAGCTTCCTGTTCCATGGAGTCGGTACTCAGCCAAGGTCAGTGTCTTCTGATCTTCCTGCTGTGGCAGCTGGGAGGTGGCAGGCCGGGCAACAGAACAGGGGTGGCTCCATGGGGCTAGGCTGTCTGTGGCTGTGGCCTGCTCTGGGGGAGGGGAGCACGAAGTGGAGGCAGAAGAGTCAGTGCTGGGCCCAAAGGGGCCAGCACTCCGGATGGGGGAGTAGCTGCCCAGGGGTGATGGCCGTGAGGTCTCTGGCTCAGGCCCAGCTTTCCTGGCACCTCGGCCAGAGGTTCGGGGTGTGGACGCCTGTGGCTCCCTGGAGGGAGCTGGGGCTGGGCCTTGAGCAGCAGGGGCAGCCAGTGGGGCAGGCTGCTGTGTACGGCTGCAGCCCGAGAGGCTGTAGAGCTGGGAGAGGTTGTGCAGGGCCCGAGCCTTGGCCAGCTGCTTGGGGAAGTGGTGCTGGAACACGAAGGGCTGGATGGGCAGTGTAGTTGGCCTCTGCTCCTTGCTGTAGCGAAGGACTGGTCGGCTTTCAGCACCACCCCCTGTAGCAACAGGGATGGAGAGGATTCAGATAGGCAGACACTGAAGCCACACGAGAAGAAACAGAAGCAGAGATAAGAGACGAGGCCCACTGGGGAAGGGGCAAGACAGGCAGGACCTGGGTTGCAGGAAGTGAGTGGGGTAAGGCTAATCCCAGCGCGCGGAACATGCCACTGCTGCCCACTTCTTTTGGGAGACTCTTTCCTGTGTTTTGCAATCCTGCTGTTTCACACCTCTTCATTTCTCAAATCTAAAGATGGTGTTATCTTACGGCTCAAGTCTTACACTTTCCCCTTGCCCAACTCCCGTCCAGGCTTTCCTACAGGTGTCTCCCAGGCCCACAGCGTTAGCCTTGCCCTTCCACTTGAGCTCTAGATCACTCTGCTTTCGGGCTCTGCTTTCATGGACACATTGTACCTTAAAAGAGCTCATCCCGTGCCTTTGCCCCCTTTTCCCAATGACTTTCATTCCTGTCGATGGCAGAACCAACGTTTTCTCTCTCTGTGGCCTAGAGACTTGGGGTCCGAGTCAGGATTTTTGCTCATTTCCCCACCAGCACATTTCGTTCTTGAGCAAATCAAGAACTCTTCTTTCTTTCTTTCTTTCTTTCTTTCTTTCTTTCTTTCTTTCTCTCTCTCTCTCTCTCTCTCTCTCTCTCTCTCTCGACAGGCAGAGTGGACAGTGAGAGAGAGAGACAGAGAGAAAGGTCTTCCTTTGCCATTGGTTCACCCTCCAATGGCCGCAGCGGCCAGCGCGCTGCAGCCGGTGCACCGCGCTGATCCGATGGCAGGAGCCAGGTACTTATCCTGGTCTCCCATGGGGTGCAGGGCCCAAGGACTTGGGCCATCCTCCACTGCACTCCCTGGCCACAGCAGAGAGCTGGCCTGGAAGAGGGGCAACCGGGACAGAATCCGGCGCCCCGACCGGGACTAGAACCCGGTGCACCAGCGCTGCAAGGCGGAGGATTAGCCTAGTGAGGCAGGGCGCCAGCCCTCCTGTTCTTCCAGCCGGTCTTCAGGTCCACGTCCCTAAGAACTAAATACAGGACTCCAGGACCGATTGTGGTTCTGACACTGCGCACATGGTGAATGCTGGAATGAACACAAGGTGGCGCTAGAAGCACTCACATGGTCTAAAATCCTGGGTGTGGCTCACCAACCCAGTAGCTCAATAACTGTACTATGCCAGGAATCAGTATTCTTACTGGGCAGATCAGGACATTTGAAATCTATAGCGATTAAGTTATTTGCTCATGGTCACACAACTAGAAAGTGGCAGAGCTATACTTCTGTGTAAGCCAGAGTCTGAGTTTGGGCCTGTGTTTTTTTTTTTTTTTTTTGACAGGCAGAGTGGACAGTGAGAGAGAGAGAGAGAGAGAAAGGTCTTCCTTTTGCCGTTGGTTCACCCTCCAATGGCTGCCGCGGCCGGCGCACCGCGCTGATCGGAAGCCAGGAGCCAGGTGCTTCTCCTGGTCTCCCATGGGGTGCAGGGCCCAAGCACCTGGGCCATCCTCCACTGCACTCCCGGGCCACAGCAGAGAGCTGGCCTGGAAGAGGGGCAACCAGGACAGTATCCGGTGCCCCGACTGGGACTAGAACCTGGCGTGCCGGCGCCGCAAGGCGGAGGATTGAGCTGTGGTGCCGGCCGGGCCAGTGTCTTTATCACATACACTTCTCAGGCTGGGTTTTCCTGTCCCTTATCTTTTATTTCATCAACAAGTCACAGTGGATGGGACCCTAACCCATTAGGGAAGTGGGTCAGAATCACTCCCAGGGGACATATTAAACTAAGCCCTCCTACCATCCCTAGTCAGCTCTTAAAGAGCAAACTCTGTTACTCTCCCTACTCGCTAGGCTCCAGCCCTACCTGCTTCTGGTCTTAAATACACCAAATTCATTACCTTCTCAGAGCCTGCTGACCTGCTGCTGTTTCTGCCTGACATCTTATCATTCAGCATCAGCTCACAAACCACCCCTTCAATAAGACTGTCACCGGGCAGCCCAGTCCCTGTGGCAGACTGCTCTCTACCCCATTGTTCCATTTCATTTTCTTTGTAGTCCTTTTCACCATGAGAAATTATCCTTTATGTGTTTATTGCTTATTACTCTTTATAACAACTCCAAAAGAGTTGTGATTTTTGTATTCTAATTGCCATGTCTTCAGTGCCTAGAGCAGAGCTTGGGGCACGGCAGGAACTAAAGGCTGAATCCTCAGCATCACTCCTCACTCAGCCCAGCCTCGTGGACCTAGACTCGGCACATAACTGGCTAGCTTCCGGAAGCACCACATGGCACATCTCTACACCTGTCAGCCTTGCTGTTGCCCTCCCACTCCCCTCTGTAAGCACACTGCCTTTCCCCCCTTGGATGTCTTCTTCCTCTCCACTTATTTAAACTCAATTTGTCAGGCTGAGCTGACCCAGTGTCTATCCCCAGTCAGCTCAGGACAGCTTAGAAACCAAATTTCACATTTGTCTTCTGTTATTAGTTTTGTTCTTTCAAAATTTGGTCAGATCCATTTGAGTTTACTGTCTCCTCATCCTCTTCTTTTCACTTTTTTTAATTAAAAAAAAAAAAAGGTACAAAATCAAGAAAAGAGCCCTGTAGTGCATTACCGAAGAGCTCTGTCATACAGCAGCGTCTTGGTGGGAAAAGTCTCATCGCATAGAAAAAACCACTTTTACGCTCCTTCTCCACCTCTGATCAGGACTTGCTTGCCCTGAGGATGCTAGCACAGCATCCCACCAGCTGCTCCCAGCAGGCCCTGCAGTCTGAGAAGGAGCCGCTTCTAAAGGGCTCTGGCCCAGGCTCTGCTTCTCCCCCAGAGACTCCCTCTCCTCCCCTTTCCCCAAGGACGTCTCCACTGTGTACTTCATTGTGTGGCCTTTTCTAATGGATTGTGAGCTCTGGAAGTACATTTGTGGTTTTTAAACCCCTCTGAGAAACCAGCAGACCCAACCTAAGGCTATGGGCACAGCTGTCCGGGAACTTGCTGCCCCTGCCCTCTACCCCCACCCCCATCCCCTCCTTCCCAAACCCTCTGAGATACTTCTGAATTGTTTTCAGGATTCTTCAGCCTTATCTTAGATGATCTCTCTTTAGAACTTTTTTTGTTGAACCTCTTTTTTTTAAAAAAACTTTCTCTTCTTTTGGTTTCTGTGACTTTATTCTCTCCTGGTCTTTTTTGAGAGCTGACCAGATCACCCCCTGAGTCACAGTATCCCCAGCCTTGTCCCCTTTATAACTCCATACACTCTCCCTGGATGCTGTCACCCATTCATTTAGCTTCAACTACTACTTTTATTCCAATGACTTTCCAATCTACATGGAAACATCTCTTTTAGTCCATCTTCCATCTAACCAATGATCTTTCTAAAATGCAAATCAAAATATGCTGGTAAGCAAAGGAAAAACCCACCAAACAAAAAAAGTAATTCCCAGTTTAAAACCCTTCAGGGGTTCTACCCCATTCTTCCATGACTATACCAAATTACCGTATTTGTAGCCTCTGGAAAGCATCAAGCCCTATGTCTTTGTGACTCTATCAGCCCAGAGGGTTCTTCCTACAAGTCTCCACAAAACCTATTCCTGATCATCTTGTGAGACTGGGCTTAAACGTAAACTGTGTAAGTGGTTCTTCCTTGACATTTCAGTCCTAGATATCCCTTCTCATCCACCAGTACCACACACTGCCAACTCTGCATTTCAACTTTGTTTCCTCTTCTGTTTCCAATTTTAGCTGAAATTCCTTGAGGACAGAGGTGAAATTCTTACAACTTAATAAAACAGGGAAAGAATTGGCTTTGGGAGGGGCTACCTGGAGCTTACGGCTCATAGGTCAGGTCTCGGGCTCCTTGGAGAGTGGTGAAAATTACTGATCAAAGAATGAACTTCACTGGTATCCAGTGTGGTTTTCCTGTTAGACATATCCCTTGGTGGTCTCTTAGGCACTGAAAATTACAAATTTCCAAAATTGAACAACCCTGTTCCTCTTTCAGTAAGTCTATTTCTGTGTTCAAATGCTATCTGACAGGGCCGACGTTGTGGTGCAGAGGGTTAAGCTGCTGCTTGGGATACCTACATATCAGAGTGTCTGGGATGGAGCCCTGCCTCTGCCTCTGCTTCCCATGCAGATTCCTGCTGACGTGCCTGGGAGGCAGCGAATGGCGGCTCAAGTACTGAGTCCCTGCCTCCCAGCTGGGAAACCTGGATGGAGTTCCTGGCTCCTGGCTCTTGTTTGGCTCAGCTCTGGTTGCTGCAGGCCTTTAGGGAGTGAACCAGTGGATGGAAGAGCTCTCCCTCTCCTCTCTGTGTCACTGCCTTTCAAATAAGTAAAAATGAATAAACAGTTATTAAAAAAAAGAAATTCCTCTTGGGATTTTCCCATAAACAAATAAACAAAAACAAACAAGAAAAACCAGACCTTATTCAAGCTACCATCATCTTTTTAGGAGTCATCCAGGTTCAGAATCACCGCCTTTTGAATACTTCCTTTTTCAATACATCAGTCTCTAAGTCCTGTTGATTTTTATCTCCTTGGTGTATTTTTTTCAATTCTCTATCTTCCTCCCCCTGTTCCTACTCCATTATACTATAGCACACCCTAGACTGGAAAGATAATAGATGGAGACTGAGGAGTCTCTAAGTGGTGCAGATGGAAGGGTTAGCGGGGACCTATCACAGAGGAGGCCATGCATATATCCTGGTAATCTCTAGTCTTTAGGTTCCTTACCGTCAGCTCTAGCTCTTGCATCCCTCTGGGTATGGCTGTTGGCTGGGCTCCCTGGGACAGCAAGCCCTGGATCCATCAGTGGAGCCAGGGGGCCTTGCTCAGCAGCTCTGAGGCCAGAAGGTGGCGTCTCACTGGACTGGGGGCCCTGGCAGACCTGGGTGGACCAGGGTTCTGGACCGAGTAGGTCTATGCCTGGTCCCAAGGGCATGGGTGGTAGACTATGGCTACAGTGAGTGCCCTTATCCAGTGGGGCCGCCCTGTCTTGCTGGGCTTCTTGGATGGGTGAGAACTCCTGGGAGGTGTCCCCGACGCTCACCCGAAGTGGGGGGGAGCCAGAGCCTGCAGCCTTCTTCCGGCCTTTGGCCAGTTCAGCAAAGGAGGTGACCCTCCTGGGTGGGGAGCTAGGCCCTGCCAGGGCTGCAGGGCCCTCACTCAAGCGTACTGGGCAACTCAGCATGCGCTCCAGTGAGCCCAGGCGGACAGCAGGGCTGCGCTCCAGGCTGCGGTCATAGCTGCGGGAGCGCTGACGTCCCGTGCTGAGGTTGGGGGGTGACGTATTCGTGTACACTTGTCCCTCTAGGATAGTGGGGCTCATGGCAGCGGCTGCTTCTGCCGAGGAACCCACTGCCTCTTGTTCCTCTGGCTGGACTTCGGGCTTCTGGAATAGGTAATACTCAGAAGGCTGGCCTGGGCCTGGTTCTGGGCCAGGGCCCGGTGGGGGACTTATCTTGGTGTGCTCCTCCGAGCAGCTGGTGATGGAAGAGCCAGCCGGGCTTGGGGAGGATTGGGAGGACAGGTCACAGGTGACAAGTTTGTAGTAATTCTGTGTGGCCACGACAAGACGGGCCTGGCTCTGGAAGCAGGCTGTGAGGTCGGCCACAGCTGGGCAGGGCTCACAGTGTGGGCGGTAGGAGTTGCAGTTGGCATCGAGCTCAGGAGATGAGGCATGAGGACAACCATAGCCTCCTTCCCGTCCTCCACTCTCAGGGTGGTGGGACTCACAAGACATCTTCGACTCAGCTGGGGAGGGCTGCAGGTCCAGGTAGAAGCCGCCAGGGTCCGAGTGGCTGCAGAAGGAAGAGTCGCTGCAGGACTGCGGGGCAGAGTTGAGATTGGCTCGGGAGTTGCTGTGCATCTTGTTGTACAGCGTGCTGAAGGTGACCAGCACGCCGTCGGAACTGTTGCAGGACGAGTCGCTCACGTAGCCCATGGACTGGTCAGCTGCCTCAGACTGACTAGATGTGCTGCTGCAGCGGCAGTGCTGGGTTCCTGGGCCCGAGCATCCTGGGTTCCTTGGGGATTCATCTGAACTCAGCTTCCATTCATGGTCAAAGGAAAAGCCAGAGGTATCACTGGCTCCCCCACCACTGCCATTCCCACCAGGTCCCCCACACTCATCCAGCTCCATGGTCTCTGCTTCCAGCTCTGGTCTGCAGCGGTGGCTACTGCGGCACTGCTGGGTGTCCAAGGGTGCCACTGGCTCCTGTTCCTGCCCATCCACCACTCCAGCCCGACTGCGTGGTGCTCCCCATGACCTGCCCACTCTGGGTCCAGATGGTGGCAGCTGGAAAGAGGCTAGATGGAAGGTGGGCTGGCCAGTGCTGTGCAGGTGGAAGGACTGCTGGGTGGCATTGTCACCGAAGCTGTCATCATACAGGTCACCAAGTCCTGGCTCACCCACACCCTCCTGCAGCAAGAACGGATTGTGTCGTTTGGGGGCCCCGGAGCCTCTTCCATCCCGACCCCTACTCTTGGTGCTGTCTGTAGACCGTGCAGATCCCCCTGCAGCAGAGTGCAGACTGTTGTACAGCAGGGAGTCAGCTTGTCCCAGGTCTTGGTCAGGCTGGGTGACACCCAGGTCAGGTGGACAGAAAGGATTGGGTCTTGTGCTCCCACTACCTCCATTTGCCCCTCCACAGCACTGCCTGTCTGGGACTTGACAGTGCACCAGGGGGATGTGGTGGACGATGAGAGTCTCTCCAGTCAGCTTTGGGGGACTATCCATTCTGGAAAGTTCGAACAAGGGCATCAACGGCACCAGATACTGCCCCTGGAGCCCAGTGGGGCAGAACACATTTCATCAGGAGAGCTTGGCACCTGGAGAGAGAGGGAAAGAAAGGGAACCTAATGTGACCTCCCCGGAAGTCAGGGACAGACCTTTCATACCATTTTCAGATGGCAAGGAGCCCAAGAGGAAAAAGGCTCCACATCAAGGTGGAGCTCCAACAGCCCAGCAGGGTAGCTGGGACCCTGCCACACTTTCTGCATTGCACAGGTTCAGCTTCTGGGTCCCCCTTCATTTTACGGTCCCCATATATCCAACTGTGACAAAAGGCCAGTCCTCTTTCCATGCCACATACGAAGGTCTGGAGATCTCAAAGACTGCACTTTCTCCTTCTCTTTCAAAGACCTTGTTGGTAGCAGTAAACAATGACTAGTCCCAAGTATGAAAACCAATGAATAGTGATATGACCGAGAAACAACGCCAGTGCAATGTCTGATAGGACGCAAGGCACGGAGGAGATAGAGAGCTGCCTTAGCTACAGCTACAGCACGCAGGTTTACAGAAGGAAAAATCATGTACTTTGCAGCAACAAGCTGTACGTTTGTAAGAGATTTATTTTTAAATACACTATATCACTTGACCCCCTTTCTCCTCCTCTGAGCCCCAGGATATTTGGCCCTCTGTGGTGACTGTGGGTGAAGTATTCTTACTATCCTCATTACTGTACTGGAGCTTTTCAAATGGAGACTAAGTTGGGCATGAGGTGGGGGTATATTTTATCTATTTTGTGTCACTCTAGCACATTATCATAGAAGGCCTGGCAAACATGAGAGGCAGAATACGTTCTTAATATATGTCTAGCTTAGGTGCAGACCTCCTGAAGTACCCAAAGTCTCCAGTTTTAGCCTCGAACCTTCATTATCCAGAAGCCCTACAAAGCCTTCTCTTCCCAGTTTTACCTCTGACAGGCTAACATTCTTTCTGGTTCAGGACAGTCCCTCCTGAGCTTCTCTGCCCCTGACCACATTGAGGCAGAGCAGCCAACTCAAGTTCTAGTCTCCCAAGTTCAGATCCCAACAGTCTTCACTCCTCATACATTTCTTTTTCTTCCTTTTTATTTCTATCGTTTTCCTTTCATACACTCTAAGTTTAAATCTCTTTTGCTTTTCTCTTATTCACCCTAGAAATGAGCCTTTGATACCACCAATTTCTTAAAATTTAACTCATTTAGACCAAAGGGTCCCAGATCCTCATATGGAGAACACTGAAGAGCTGGGTAAGTAATCAATACTCAAGGACATAAACAGGCAATCATAAAAGAAAAGAAATTGAAATGGTTAATAAACATGTGTGAGGAACAAAGTATTAAGACATAATTAGTTGGGGTTGGTGTTGTGGCATAGCAGGTTAAGCCTCCACCCGTGATGATGGCATCCCATTTGGGTACCAGTTTGAGACCTGGCTGCTCCACTTCCAACCCAGCTCCCTGCTAATGTACCTGGGAAAACAGCAGGAGATAGCCAAGTCCTTGGGCCCCTGCACCCACATGGAAGACCAGAAGAAGCTCCTGGCTCCTGGCTTCCGCCTGGCCCAGCCCTGGCTGTTGCAGTCATCTGGGGAGTAAACCAGCAGATGGAAGATCTCTCTCTCTCCCCTCTCATCTTTCTGTAACACTGCCTTTCAAATAAATTTAAAATATATGCATATAATTATTTATGTTAAATTAAATTCCATTAAAGTTAATAAGCAAGAATATATCTGTCCTTTGGTATTAGCAGGGAATTGGTTCTAGGACCCCTTGCAGATGCCAGAATCCACAGATATCCAATGCCCTTTTATAAAACATAGCATTTGTCTATAGCCTATGCACATTCTCTCATATACCTTAAATCATCTCTATATTACTTAATATAATATAACACCATGTGAATTGTTAAACTGTATGTTTAGGGAATAATGAAGAGAGAAAAATCTGTACATGGTCTGTACAGATAAAATATATGGAGGGGCCATCTGTATTAACAGTCGTTCTTCCTTCTCCCCTTTCTGAGAGGGTGACTCTTTTGTTGGACTTCTAAGTCTTTGTGTGTTGATTAGGGTAATGGGTAGAGAGGTTGGAAGGCAGAAACTAGAGAGGCTAAACTGAGCTACAAAATTAAATATTATAGTGGAAAACATAGAAGAAAATCTCTGTTATCATGGATTGGGTACAGTTTCTAAGATGAGACATGAAAAGCAAAAGAGACAAAAACAAAAACAGAGAAAATAGACTCCACAGTGCTTCAGAGGACACCTAAGAAAGTGAAAAGACAGCCTGTGGAATGGGAGACAACATTTGCAAATCATATACTTGATATGAAACTTCTACTTGCAAAGAAAACTCTTGTATCTTTAGAATAAAAAGAGTTATAACCCAATTAAAAGCTAGGCAAAGAGTCTAAATAGGCATTTCTCCAAAGAAGACACACAAGTGGCTAACAAGCTCATGAAAGGATGCTCATTTTTATGTGGATATCTTAAAAAAAAAAACCTGAAGACAATATAAGTGTGGACAATGATGATGGAGTGGAAAATTGGAACCCTCAAACATGGTAGGGGCATTGCAAAAATAGTACAGCCACTTTGGAAAACAGTTGACAGTTCCTCAAAATGTTAAACAGAGTTACTACATGACCAGCAATTCCACTGCTAAGTCTAAACCCAGGAGAAATGAAAACGTGTGTTTACACAAAAACTTGGGATATAAATGTTTATAGCAGCACTATTCACAGTAGCCACAATTGGTAACTAGATAAATAAAATGAGGTATACACATGAATGCAATTTTATTTGGCAATAAAAGAAATGAAGTAATGATATATAGCACAACATGAATGAACTTGAAAAAGACTATGCTAAGTTTAAGAAATCAGAAAAAACTTCCTTGTATGATGTTGTTTTATTTCATTTATATGAAATATCCAGAATAGGCAAAGCCATAAGCAGAAACTAGATTAGCAGTTGCCATTGACTGAGGAGGTGGGGAATGGGGAATGGGTACTTCCTTCATGGGTGTGGAGGTTCTTCTTGGGGTGATAATGTTCTGAAATCAGGCATTGCTGATGGTGACACAGTCTGTGCTTACAATGAAAACTACAGAATTCATGGTATGTGCATTATCTCAATAAGACTAAAGCAGGAAAAAAATCAAGATTATCAGAAGGAAGCAGAGAGTGGTGAGGGAGGGATCTAATGCTGAGCTGTGACTGGGGCTGAGCATTTGCAGAGAAAAGGGGAAAATGAGACAAGTGAGCAACAACTCTTAAATGTGGCATTTAGAGAGAGAGAAGAAGACAATATCTAGGAAATTTTGGCATGAAATACTTAAGATAATTTCCCTTCACTCCTTTTTTAATCAAGAAAACTTTGAGCTCAAACATGATATATATATTATTAGTATACTAATATATAAATGTATGTGGGATTCCACTAAAGCACAAATATGTGTGTGTGTGTGTGTATGAGATACATTTCCTCTACATGCACATACTCCTTATTTAAGCCATCACGATTCAATCAAGGCTCAGCCCAGCAACATAATCTAATCTAATCACTTCCCAAAGACCCTACCTTCAAACACCATATTTGGAATAAGTTTCCACCTTTAATTTATTAACCATTAACCATGACCATTCAAATAAGACTTTGAGGACCAAACTCCTAGCACATGGGTCTTTGGGAAACTTCTAAACTAATATCTAGACTATAGCAGTTGGGAACATTCTAAAATTCCAGTAGCAATCAACCAATGAAAAAATATACAGAACAGAGAATATCATTAAAATAATGTGTTCAAATTATTGATTTGGAAAATGGTCACAAAATAGTAAGTGAAAATAGAAGGCTATAAATGGCATGATGGTATGACATCATTTTTATAAATAAATATGTCTAGTAGTGAAGAAAAATTGAAAAACATGCAACAAAACATTAACAGTGCCTGTCTTTGTTGTGTGATTGGATTATCTTAAATTTTATTCTTTTTGTTTCATACTTATTTTCTTTTTAAAGGTTTACTTATTTATTTGAAAGAGTTAAGAGAGAGAGAGAGAGAAAGAGAGAGAGAGAGAGAGAGAGAGAGAGAGAGAGACATTGTCTCATCACTGGTTCACTCTCCAAATGTTTGCAATGGGCTGAAGCCAGGAGCCTGGAACTATATCCAGGTCTCCCATGTGGGTGCAGAGGCTCAAGTATTTGGCCATCTTCCACTGCTTTCCCAGGTGCTTTAGCAGAGAGCTGGATCAGAAGTGGAGCAGCCTGGATGTGAATCAGCATCATATGGGATGCTGGCATTGCAGGCAGAGGCTTCACCTGCTGTATCACAATGCTGGCCCCTCATATTTAGTTTCTAATTTCTGTATAATAAATATCCTTCATATGTATACTTCAAACAATTGTTTTTTTCTTTCAGGAGTGGGCTTCCCCTAAGAATTTTCATTTTATTTGAAAGTCAGAGACACTGATTTTCCATTTATTGGTTCACTCCCCAAATGCCCACAACAGTCAGGAGCCAGGAGCCAGGAGCTCCATCTGGATCTCCTACTTTGGTGACAGGGGCCTAAACACTTGAGCCCAGGGTGTACATTAGCAGGAAGCTGGATCAGATGTGCAGTTGGGACTTGAACCCAGGTACTCTGATAAGGGACAGTGGCATTCCAACCAGCATTTTTTAGCCACAGCCAAACATCCAACCTCTTTTTCTCCTGCTAAAGGACCATTTTCAGGAAGCGTTCACTAGTATGTATACATATAACAGAAGTAATGATTCTGACCATTCTAGGGACATTCCTATGGAAAACCACAGTGATGCACAGATAGAGTCTAGAGCCAGGGATGGGGAACGAAGGCACACTGGATCCCTGACTGGCAGGTGCTGATGGTTGTATTAGAACAGTGTTTCCACATCTGTGTCCTAGACTAGAGCACAGTTCCTTGAGGTCGGAGACTGAGAGCCAGCCAATTCCACAACCCTAGAATTTCTTATATGGTCCTTCGAACACGGCAGATGCTTGGTTATTTCTCTAGTATTTTACACATTTAATAAAATTGAGTTGTTTGCCTTTTATTATTGAGTTATAGGAGTTTTTAAAATTTATTTTGGGTAAATTTTATTCTAGTCAGATCCTTGTCTTGGAAATATTTTCTCTCAGCCAGAGGCTTGCCTGTTAGCTTTCTTAACAGTGCTTCTTATTAACAGACATTTAAAATTTTATGAAGTCCAATTTATCAGTTTTTTTCTTTTATGATTAAAGCTTTATGTACCCTAAGAAGTCTTTATCCCAAGATCATAAAATAATTGTTCTCTAAAAACTGTATAGTGTTATCTTTAAATTTGGGTTATGTCGGGTCTTTATGTTTCAAGCTCTTTTACTGATTTTTATTTTAACTTGTATTTTTATATCTTAGGGATTGTTAACAATTCAGCCAGCTGGAGGTGAAGTTCTGCAGGCATCTCTGAGATTTTGTAATCATGCTTTGTTCCATAACTGCTTCACATTATTTACAAAGCACTTTTTATGTATACGTCATTATCCTCAATCCAACTTAGCAAAGTGGGCAGAGCCATATTCATTAAAATGAACAAGGAAATTGACCCCTAGAAAAATGAAATGACTTGCCCAAGATCACTCAGTGAACAAATAACAATAAAGATGGGACTCAGGAATCCTAACTTTTGACATCTTTTCTTGATCAGTTAAGAATGTAATGAGAGTGTGCTGTACCTGTGATTCGATTTCAAACACCACAGAGAACATTCCCTGAGAGATGATTTCAGACTTTTTCCTGAGCGTGGTTTGTTCTAATGTCAAGACAAGTTTACGACGAGGGCCCACGAGCTCTAAGGAAGGTGAAGAGAAAGCACAGGTGTGGAAGACATCGTTGCAGACTCTTTTTGCACCCTAATTCAATGGAGAGATCTGGAAGCTGAGGATGGGGAAGGAACAGAAGATCCCGAATAAGAAGTGGAAAAGAGGCTCTCTGAGGATGAGCCCTCTAGCCATGCTTATCTGATATGTAGTGGAGTGGTGAGCTCAGCCAGATCAGGTTACAAACTCTAGTCAGGGGAAGCTTTCTTTTTTTTTTTTTTTTTTTTGACAGGCAGAGTGGACAGTGAGAGAGAGAGACAGAGAGAGAAAGGTCTTCCTTTGCCGCTGGTTCACCCTCCAATGGCCGCCGCTGCAGCCGGCGCACCGCGCTGATCCTGGCAGGAGCCAGGAGCCAGGTGCTTTTCCTGGTCTCCCATGGGGTGCAGGGCCCAAGCACCTGGGCCATCCTCCACTGCACTCCCTGGCCATAGCAGAGAGCTGGCCTGGAAGAGGGGCAACCGGGACAGAATCCGGCGCCCCAACCGGGACTAGAACCCAGTGTGCCGGCGCCGCAAGGTGGAGGATTAGCCTATTGAGCCACGGCGCCGGCTTAGGGGAAGCTTTCTGAGAGCCCCTTCCCGGCCGAGTCTCGGTGGGTGCCTCTTTTTTTTTTTTTTAATTAATTTATTTGACAGGTAGAGTTATAGACAGAGAGAGACATAGAGAAAGGTCTTCCTTCCGTTGGTTCACTCCCTAAATGGCCGCCACGGCCAGCGCTGCACCGATCCGAAGCCAGGAGCCAGATGCTTCCTCCTGGTCTCCCACGCGGGCACAGGGCCCAAGCACTTGGGCCATCCTCCACTGCCTTCCGGGGCCACAGCAGAGAGCCGGACTGGAAGAGGAGCAGCGGGACTAGAACCTGGCACCCATATGGGATGCCGGCGCAGCAAGGCGGAGGATTAACCAAGTGAGCCATGGCGCCGGCCCTGGTGGGTGTCTCTTGACTTATCATCATCATAATACTAGCGATGATTTATTGGGCACTAACATGCCAGGTGATTTACAAGTAACATCTCAAATTCCACCGTAACACCTTCAAGTAGGCATAATCACTCCCATTTTACAGATGAGAAAACTAAAGCTTAGAGGATATAAGTAGTTTGCTCAAGATAACAGAGCGGAGATGCAATCCAAACCCAGGTCTGCCCAATTCTTAATTATTTCCACTACAACTGCCTCCCAGAGAAAATGATCAGGGCCACACCCTCTTTCTTCCTAAAGTCCTTGCATTTACCGTGCTCCCAGAGCAGCTGCTTTCTACTTTTCCTGGTTGTCCACACTGTAGCTTCCACTCAAACAGGCTGTGTTACAGGCCTCTCCATTCTCTATTACAGTCCCTTTCTGTGTCTGTTCCCATGCATGTTCTGCTAGCCCCACTCCCGCCCCGCTTGGCAGCCCTCATCTCCCTGTCCTCGTGACAGCCCCCAAACCCTCTTTCCCTGTCTGTAGTTCCCACTCCAAGATGGCTTTTGGGAGTTAACACTCTCCCACAACTTTCCAGGGTATTCTTCAATCATCTATTTCAAAACATGGATCTACTGTCTCCTATTTTCATATGTTTTGAATCCTCCAACAAGGATTCCAACAGGCATGGGGATTTACGGAACTCTCCTATTTCAGCAATAGGGCAACTCAAGGCAGGGAAACTCCAGCAAAAAAAGGTTTCTCCTGTCTTTGGGCATCAGCGTCTTTTTTGCCAAATAACCCTCCCCCTCTTTTCTGGCCTCTTGAAGGGAGATAGGGGAGACAAAGGGACTCAGCTGCTGCTCTCCTGCAGGCTGACCTTGACTTGAGGTCCTGATGAGCAGCCTCAGCAGGACCAAAAGGTCTTTTCCTGCCCAGGTCCTTGGGAAGGACTGAAGGTATGATGGCAGGAGGGTGGATTTGGGAGTTATTAGCTTATGCTCAGGTCTCTTCCTGCTAGGAATCCATGAGTAAGATGGCTTGTTATAACAGGTCAGGTGCCCTAGACATTGCAATGACCATCCCCTGCCCCCAACCTACTGTGGGACATCTTGGTCAACATTCTTTCTTGGAGCCTAGTGGCTCTCACAGCACCAGAAGGCATGGTGTGTGAGTGTGTGTGTGAGTGTGTGCGTGCAGGGAGCGGCTTCCCAGCCCCTCCTGAAAGCATGGATGCCTGCATCTTCTCCATCATGAACTTACAGCTTTTGTAGTCTCCTCCCATTAAGCCTTTGTTTCCAGATCTGACCCCCTCCACTCTGACTACAGCAGCGAAGAGCAGCTTCATTAGAAATGCCCAAAAAGAAAGGATGGAGTCTCCTGCTTCCTGACAAAACAGCACAATGATGCTCAAACTCTGCTTCTCCCCGTCTCTGCACCACAGCACAAACCTATGCATGGATGAGCTTGTCTAACGCTCGCACGCGCGCTCTCTCCCTCTTTTGGAAAGACAAAGCCAGTCCTTGGCAGCCAGGGCCCGAATGCCGATGGCTTGCGCTGTTGGCTCTGCCCTGCCCCTCCCCCAGCTGCGCTGAGCCATACCTCTGTAAGGAGCCTTCAGCTGGACCGGAGGCTTCTGCTCCTTTTGCTCTGCCTTGACAGTTCCTGCCGAGGCACTGTTCCCGGGCCCACACAGGGGGCCCTGGGCCGACTCCCTAAGATCTGATTTCTGCTAATACAATGGCATCGCTGCTAATGCAGGGAGGCTGCGCAATCCCAGCGCCGTCTCCTTGCTGCTGCCGCGGCCGCTGGTGCTGCGGTGACGTTGCTGCCAAGGGAAGGGGGAAGGGAGAGGAGCGGGCATGCCCACAGTACAGCCGCTCAGCCTCGCTCCCCGCTCCCCGGCAGTCCCCGTGGGCCTGTTAGCCCGGCGAAGGGGGAGGGGAGAGAAAGGAGTCGGCAGCGGAGGGCAGTCGGCGCCGGCAGATGGAGATCTCTCCCGATCTCCCGGCAGGGAGAGCTGGGCCTACTCCTCTCAGGAGTCTCAGGGAAGGAGTCTGGGCAGAGCCTGGAAGCTTCCTTCCTTCCTTCCTTCCTTCCTTTCTCAGGCCCCTCCTTTCAGATCTCAGCCAGAAACTTCTCCCTCCTCTTTTCTCTCTGAATGACTGTGTTTTCCAGCTTCTTCCTCTCACTGGGATTCCAGGCTAGCCTAGAGGTGGAGCAGTCAGCCTGGGAGGGGACTCCTGGAGCCCTGAGGGGCGGCTGTCATCAGCAGTCGTCATTCTACCCAAAGCCTCTGTGTGCGTGTGCACGCGCCTGCCTCCTGGGGAACATGGGTCTGTCTCAGAAAATACAGACTGCACTGCAGGGACCTTGTAACACACGTCTTAGGGCCGAAGTGGCTACAGGCCCGTGTGCCAACACACGTTCCATTCAGTTCTCTGGCTCTTCAGAGGGTCCACTAGTGGTGGCTGAAGTAGAACCGACCCCTCTCACATACCGTACAAGAGGAATCTAGAGAAAATAGATAAATTGGACTACACAAAAATTTAAGATATCTGTGCTTCAAAGGATACAATCAGGATAATGAAAAGGCCACGCCCTCAGCTCTAAAGCGCATGTGTGTCTGCTTGGGCTCTTTCTAATTTGTGGAAACTGAATGAAGGGGGCCTCCGGAAGATCCAGTTGTACGATGGGTTGTCAGTGGGTCACCCGTGTTTCAGCATCTATAGGAACCTTCATGTTCAAATATAATCTGTGCTTTCTGTGTAACTTTTCTCAAAACAGTAGAAGCCAAAAGGTAACAGGAAGGACTGAAGTTAAATAACCAATCTTGATGTTTGGGAATTCAAAAAGCTGTAAGAAAGGGGAATATCCTGGAGGTGGAGAAGATGCTCTGAAACTATTTGTCTAAAGACTCAAAGAAGAGGAGGAACCCTTTAAAAGAGAGGCTCGAAGGCCAGGGGTGAGAGCCAATTGGTTTAAAAATGGGTGTCTCTACAAATCAATGACAAAGAGACTAACAACCCAACTTAAAAACGAGCAAAGAACTTAAACTGACATTTCTCCAAAGGAGATTAACACAAATGGCCCTCAACCCACGAAAAGTTGCTCAACAACAGTTAGTCATTAGGGTAATGTAAATCAAAACCAATTCAATGAGATGCTATTTCACACCCACTAGGATGGTTAAAATTAAAGTAAACAAACAAAAATAGATAATCCAAAGATAACCCACAGAACTGGAGGAAGTTTGCAAATCACTATGTCTGACAAGGAACTTCTATCCAGAATACATAAAAAATTCAGCAATAAGAAGACAACTCAATGGGGCCGGCGCTGTGGCGCAACAGGTTAAAGCCCTGGCCTGGCATCCCATATGGTGCCAGTTCAAGTCCTGGCTGCGTCACTTCCAATCCAGCTCCCTGCTTATGTGCCTGGGAAGGCAGCGGAAGACCCAGCACCCTTATGGAATCACCCAGAAGAAGCTTCTGGTTCATGGCTTTGGATAGGCTCAACTTCAGCTGTTGTGGCCATTTGGGGATGAACCAGCAGATGGAAGACTTCTGTCTCTCTCTCTGTCTCTACCTCTCTCTGGAATTCTGTCTTTCAAATAAATAAAGTCACTATTTTAAAAAAAATGAAAAGAAAAAAACACAACTCAATTAAACATGTGCAGAGGATTTGAGTAGACATTCTCCCAAAGAAGACACACAAATGTTCAAAAAGCACATAATAAGATGATCAACATTATTAGTCATTAGGGAAGTACAAATTATAACTAAAATGAGATACCACTTGACCCCACTAGAGTGGCTAAAACAAAACAAAAAAGACAACAGACAATAATAAGTGTTGATGATTGTGTGGAGAAAGTGGATCCCCTATCCATTGTTGGGGGCATTGTGTAATGGTGCAACCACATTAGAAAACAGTCTGGAGGTCCATATAATCAAACAGTTCTGCTCCCAAGTACATATATTCCAAGAAAAATGAGAACATGTTCACATAAAAGCTTGTATATGAATAATAGTCAAAATTGGGAATAGTAAAAATGTTCATCAATAAAAGAAGTGATAAATGTGGTATATCTGTATAATTGAATATTATTTAGCAATAAAAAGGAATGAAGTATTGGTATATGCTATATCAGGGATGAACCTTGAAGACAATATACTAAGTGAAAAAAATCAACATTTGCTAAGTCCAAGCAGGTTATATATTGTTTCATTCCACTTGTGTGAAATGTCTAGCATGGGCAAATATATGAATAGTAAATGGCTCTCTGTGTCTCTCCTTGTCTGTAACTCTTTCAAAATAAATACATCAATCTCAAAAAACAAAAACAACAACAACAGAGAAAAATAATTAACTAAATGGTGCACTACTATGCAATGGAATAAAATGGAACCATAAAACTTACATTTATAAGGGATGGCATAGAAAAGGCTTTTAAGCTAATAATGAAAAGTAGGGTATAAAACTGTATACAGAGACTTCTGCTTCCTATAGATATTTATGGAATCCTTTCCACTGCAAAAAAACTGGATCCTATATAACATATATTTAAAAACTTTTTTTATAAAGATTTATTTATTTGAAAGGTAGAGTTACAGAGAGAGACAGACAGGCAGACAGAGAGATCTTCCATCTACTGGTTCACTCTCCAGACGGCTGCAACCGCCAGGAGTGGGCCAGCCCAAAGCTAGGAGCCAGGAGCTTCATCCAGATTTCCCATGTGGGTGCAGGGGGTCTAAAGACTTGGGCCATCAGGCCGGCACTGCGGCTCACTAGGCTAATCCTCCACCTGTGGCGCTGGCACCCTGGTTCCAGTCCAGGTTGGGGAGCCGGATTCTGTCCCGGTTGTTCCTCTTCCAGTCCAGCTGTCTGCTGTGGCCCGGGAAGGCAGTGGAGGATGGTCCAAGTGCTTGGGCCCTGCACCCACATGGGAGACCAGGAGGAAGCACCTGGCTCCTGGTTTTGGATTGGCGCAGCGTGCTGGCTGCGACACGCCAGCTGTAGTGGCCATTTGTGGGGGTGAACCAACGGAAAAAGAAGACCTTTCTGCTGTCTCTCTCTCTCTCACTGTCTCTGCCTGTCCAAAAAAAAAAAAAAAAAAAGACTTGGGCCATCTTCCACTGATTTCCCAGGCACATTAGCAGGGAGCTAAATCAGAAGTGGAGCAGCTGGGACTCGAACCAGTGTGCATATGGGATGTTGGCATCCCAGGCAGCGGCTTAATTCACTATACTACAACACCAGCCCAATAACATACACTTTTTTTCTTTTTCAACTTTTATTTAATAAATATAAATTTCCAAAGTACAATTTTTGGATTATAGTGACTTATCCCCCCATAACTTCCCTCTCACCAGCAACCATCCCATCATTTTTCTTTTAAAAAATTTATTTATTTGAAAGACAGAGTTCGAGAGAGAGAGAGAGGTCTTCCATCTGCTGGTTCACTCCCCAAATGGCCGCAATGGCTGAAGTTGAGCCTATCCGAAGCCAGGAACCAGGAGCTTCTGCTGGGTCTCCCACACAGATGCTGAGACCCAAGCACTTGGGCCATCTTCTGCTGCTTTCCCAGGCACATTAGCAGGGAGCTGGATTGGAAGTGGAGCAGCCAAGACTCAAACCGCCACCTATATGGGATGCTGGCGCTGCAGGCTGGGGCTTTAACTGGCTGTGCCACAGTGCTGGTCCCTCATAATGTATACTTTTAAAAGCATATCAAGACAAACAGTAATAGGAGAAATTGCCAAGGCTGATTCCTGGAAGGGGAAAAATTAAATGTGAAGTAAGCATGAGGGAACATCAGGGTTTCTTGTTAGTCAACTCCCAAAGCATCAATGCAGTCAAGATGAGAAGTCTTGGATCAGTGAAAAAGTAATAGAGCCAAACCTTTGATTTCTGAATTAAGCTGGGAACCCTGAAGAAAGCTCAACAATCCAAGGTTGATGGTGTCTTACAGCTTTGACAGAAGCAGATACAAATCTTCTCTGGAGAAAAGTATCTCCAAAGTTAAGTCAAAAGGATTCTCAAAATTATAGAGCATGCCCAAATTAACTCACAACCAACCACTACAAGTACACATGAGGGGGGGTGGGTGTTAAGACTCTGGTTGGGACATAAATGTCCCATGTTGGAGTACGTGGGTTAGTTATCTGGCTTCTGACCCCAGCCTCCTGATAATGCTGACCCTGGGAAGCAGCGCTGATGGCTCAAATAATTGGGTTCCTGCTACCCACGCGGAAGACCTGGATTGAGTTCCCAGCTCCCAGCTTCAGCCCAGTCCAGTCTGTCTCTTTCTCTGTGTTATTCAAATTAATTAATTTTTAAAAAATGAAGGATAAAAACATAATGAGTGAATAACAGAAAACAATATATTCATATAGCAAGGCCTTCACAAATCAAAACTGACAAATACAGAATGCAAATCACCTATGTGTGGAATGTTTTAAATAAAGGATAAGATCTCTGGGGCCGGCGCTGTGGCACAGCCCTGGCCTGAAGTGCTGGCATCCCATATGGGCACTGGTTCTAGTCCTGGCTGCTCCTCTTCTGATCCAGCTCTCTGCTAGAGCCTGGGAAAGCGTGGGAAGATGGCCCAAGTCCTTGGGTCCCTGCACCCACATGGGAGACCCGGAAGAAGCTCCTGGCTCCTGGCTTTGGATCGGCGCAGCTCCAGCCATTGCGGCCATCTGGGGAGTGAACCAGCGAATGGAAGACCTCTCTGTCTGTCTCTACCTCTCTCTGAAACTCCTTCAAATAAATAAAATAAATCTTTAAAAAAAATGAAGGATCGGGGCCGGCGCTGTGGTGCAGGGGGTTAACATCCTGGTCTGAAGTGCCGGCATCTGAAAGGGGCGCCAGTTCTAGTTCCGGCTGCTCCTCTTCCGATCCAGCTCTCTGCTATGGCCTGGGATGGCAATAGAAGATGGCCCAAGTCCTTGGGCCCCTGCGCCCATGTGGGAGACCCAGAAGAAGCTCCTGGCTCCTGGCTTTGGATTGGCACAGCTCCGGCAGTTGTAGCCATCTGGGGAGTGAACCAGCAGATGGAAGACATCTCTCTCTCTCTCTCTCTCTCTCTCTCTTTTTCTGCCTCTTCTCCCTCTGTGTAACTCTGACTTTCAAATAAATAAAATAAATCTTAAAAAAATTTAAGGATAGGCCGGCGCCGCGGCTCACTAGGCTAATCCTCCGCCTAGCGGCGCCGGCACACCGGGTTCTAGTCCCAGTTGGGGCGCCGGATTCTGTCCCGGTTGCCCCTCTTCCAGGCCAGCTCTCTGCTGTGGCCAGGGAGTGCAGTGGAGGATGGCCCAAGTGCTTGGGCCCTGCACCCCATGGGAGACCAGGAAAAGCACCTGGCTCCTGGCTCCTGCCATCGGATCAGTGGTGCGCCGGCCGCAGCGCGCCGGCCGCGGCGGCCATTGGAGGGTGAACCAACGGCAAAGGAAGACCTTTCTCTCTGTCTCTCTCTCTCTCACTGTCCACT